CTCAGAGACGGAAAGCAAGCTCACAGACAAAGAGCACGCTCACAGAGACAGAGAGGACGCTCAGAGACAGAGAGCTCGCTCACAGAGACAGAGAGCACGCTCAGAGAAAGAGAGCATGCTCAGAGACAGAGAGCACGCTCACAGAGACAGAAAGCACACTCAGAGGCAGAGAGCACGCTCAGAGACAGAGAGCACACTCAGAGACAGAGAGCACGCTCACAGGGACAGAGAGCACGCTCAGAGACAGAGAGCACGCTCAGAGACAGAGAGCACGCTCAGAGACAGAAAGCACGCTCACAGGGACAGAAAGCACACTCACAGAGAAAGAGAGCACGCTCACAGAGACAGAGAGCACACTCACAGGGACAGAGAGCACGCTCAGAGACAGAAAGCACGCTCAGAGACAGAGAGCACGCTCAGAGACAGAGAGCACACTCACAGGGACAGAGAACTCGCTCAGAGACAGAGAGCACGCTCACAGGGACAGAGAGCACGCTCAGAGACGGAAAGCAAGCTCACAGACAAAGAGCACGCTCACAGAGACAGAGAGGACGCTCAGAGACAGAGAGCTCGCTCACAGAGACAGAGAGCACGCTCAGAGACAGAGAGCATGCTCAGAGACAGAGAGCACGCTCACAGAGACAGAAAGCACACTCAGAGGCAGAGAGCACGCTCAGAGACAGAGAGCACACTCAGAGACAGAGAGCACGCTCACAGGGACAGAGAGCACGCTCAGAGACAGAGAGCACGCTCAGAGACAGAAAGCACGCTCACAGGGACAGAAAGCACGCTCACAGAGAAAGAGAGCACGCTCACAGAGACAGAGAGCACACTCACAGGGACAGAGAGCACGCTCAGAGACAGAAAGCACACTCAGAGACAGAGAGCACGCTCAGAGACAGAGAGCACACTCACAGGGACAGAGAACTCGCTCAGAGACAGAAAGCACGCTCACAGGGACAGAGAGCACGCTCAGAGACGGAAAGCAAGCTCACAGACAAAGAGCACGCTCACAGAGACAGAGAGGACGCTCAGAGACAGAGAGCTCGCTCACAGAGACAGAGAGCACGCTCAGAGACAGAGAGCACACTCACAGACAAAGAGCACGCTCACAGAGAGAGAGAGGACGCTCACAGGGACAGAGAGCATGCTCAGAGACGGAAAGCAAGCTCACAGACAAAGAGCACGCTCACAGAGACAGAGAGGACGCTCAGAGACAGAGAGCTCGCTCACAGAGACAGAGAGCACGCTCAGAGACAGAGAGCACGCTCAGAGACAGAGAGCAGGCTCAGAGACAGAAAGCACACTCACAGGGACAGAGAGCACGCTCAGGGACAGAGAGCACACTCACAGGGACAGAGAGCACGCTCAGAGACAGAAAGCACGCTCACAGGGACAGAGAGCACGCTCAGAGACAGAGAGCACACTCACAGAGACAGACAGCAAGCTCAGAGACAGAGAGCACACTCACAGGGACAGAAAGCACACTCAGAGGCAGAGAGCAAGCTCACAGACAAAGAGCACGCTCACAGAGACAGAGAGGACGCTCAGAGACAGAGAGCTCGCTCACAGAGACAGAGAGCACGCTCAGAGACAGAGAGCACGCTCAGAGACAGAGAGCACACTCACAGAGACAGACAGCAAGCTCAGAGACAGAGAGCACGCTCAGAGACGGAAAGCAAGCTCACAAAGAGCACGCTCACAGGACAGAGAGCACGCTCTGAGAGAGAGAGCACGCTCAGAGACAGAAAGCACGCTCACAGGACAAAGAGCACGCTCTGAGACAGAGAGCACGCTCACAGGACAGAGAGCACGCTCTGAGACAGAGAGCACGCTCAGAGACAGAAAGCACGCTCAGAGACAGAGAGCACGCTCAGAGATAGAAAGCACGCTCAGAGACAGAGGGCACACTCATAGAGACAGAAAGCACACTCACAGAGAAAGAGAGCACGCTCACAGAGACAAAGAGCATGCTCACAGGGACAGAAAGCACGCTCAGAGAGAGAGCACGCTCAGGGACAGAGAGCACGCTCAGAGACAGAGAGCACGCTCAGGGACAGAGAGCACGCTCAGAGACAGAGAGCACGCTCACAGGGACAGAGAGCACGCTCACAGGGACAGAGTGCATGCTCACAGGGAGAGAGAGCACACTCAGAGACAGAGAGCACGCTCAGGGACAGAGAGCACGCTCAGAGACAGAGAGCACGCTCACAGAGACGGAAAGCACGCTCACAGGGACAGAGAGCACGCTCAGAGACAGAGAGCACACTCACAGAGACAGAGAGCACGCTCAGAGATAGAAAGCACGCTCAGAGACAGAGAGCACGCTCACAGGGACAGAGAGCACGCTCACAGGGACAGAGTGCATGCTCACAGGGAGAGAGAGCACACTCAGAGACAGAGAGCACGCTCAGGCACAGAGAGCACGCTCAGAGACGGAAAGCAAGCTCACAAAGAGCACGCTCACAGGACAGAGAGCACGCTCTGAGAGAGAGAGCACGCTCAGAGACAGAAAGCACGCTCACAGGACAAAGAGCACGCTCTGAGACAGAGAGCACGCTCACAGGACAGAGAGCACGCTCTGAGACAGAGAGCACGCTCAGAGACAGAAAGCACGCTCAGAGACAGAGAGCACGCTCAGAGATAGAAAGCACGCTCAGAGACAGAGGGCACACTCATAGAGACAGAAAGCACACTCACAGAGAAAGAGAGCACGCTCACAGAGACAAAGAGCATGCTCACAGGGACAGAAAGCACGCTCAGAGAGAGAGCACGCTCAGGGACAGAGAGCACGCTCAGAGACAGAGAGCACGCTCAGGGACAGAGAGCACGCTCAGAGACAGAGAGCACGCTCACAGGGACAGAGAGCACGCTCACAGGGACAGAGTGCATGCTCACAGGGAGAGAGAGCACACTCAGAGACAGAGAGCACGCTCAGGGACAGAGAGCACGCTCAGAGACAGAGAGCACGCTCACAGAGACGGAAAGCACGCTCACAGGGACAGAGAGCACGCTCAGAGACAGAGAGCACACTCACAGAGACAGAGAGCACGCTCAGAGATAGAAAGCACGCTCAGAGACAGAGAGCACGCTCACAGGGACAGAGAGCACGCTCACAGGGACAGAGTGCATGCTCACAGGGAGAGAGAGCACACTCAGAGACAGAGAGCACGCTCAGGCACAGAGAGCACGCTCAGAGACTTAGAGCACGCTCACAGAGACGGAAAGCACGCTCACAGGGACAGAGAGCACGCTCAGAGACAGAGAGCACACTCACAGGGACAGAGAGCACGCTCAGAGACAGAGAGCACACTCAGAAACAGAAAGCACGCTCAGAGACAGAGAGCACACTCAGAGACAGAGAGCACGCTCAGAGACAGAGAGCACACTCACAGGGACAGAAAGCACGCTCAGAGACAGAAAGCACGCTCAGAGAGACAGAGAGCACACTCACAGAGACAGAAAGCACACTCACAGAGACAGAAAGCACGCTCAGAGACAGAAAGCATGCTCAGAGAGACAGAAAGCACGCTCACAGAGACAGAGAGCACGCTCAGAGACGGAAAGCACACTCTCAGAGACAGAACACGCTCACAGGACAGAGAGCACGCTCACAGAGACAGAAAGCACGCTCAGAGACAGAAAGCATGCTCAGAGCAGAGCTGAGTTGCGGGCCGGGGCTGGGAGAGGGCCTGGGGGGAGGAGCTTTGGGGCACAGGGTTTTAGTGTCAGGAGAGAAGTCCTAGGGCGGACGGTGTTTATGGTTGCACAGTAATAAAAAGTATCTCATCCCACTGCACTGCACTCTTAGAAATGGCCGAGACGCTAAGTCTTATGTGTACTTTACTGCAGAGGAAAAAATAAAGGAAAATAAACAACCCTGGAAAACCCACGGAAGCTTGAGGCTCACATTGAGCGCCATGCTAGAAGAGAAAGTTTGTTTGCAGGTGACAGGGCCCTAGCTCAAGCCAGCACCTCCCAGCTCCCCCTCCCTGGTCTCCTCACTGGTCCCGGGGCTGTTTGCCATGCTGACAGTGGAGCCCTCTGTCACTGACTGACAGGCCTCCGCAGGGGGCCGCTCAGGCCTTGTGGGGAATAGCTGGCCAGCGGTGGCAGGGAGGGGGCGGTGGCAGGGAGCAGGTGTTGCCATCGTCCAGGCATGTGACAGCCAGACGCCCCAGCAACACTTCGCCCTTAGCTGTCAGTCACTCTCCTCTGAAGTTTAAATGAGTGAAATGTTGTAACTTAACTGATGGTAACTTAAACCAGATTCCCCTGGAGAATGTGGAAAGACACAGAAACCACCTAGGGTGGGCAGCCCAGGCCCGGGTGACGGTCTGCCCAGGGGGCTTCACACACCCTGTGCCCCTGCCTGGAGGCCACACCGCTGACTGGCCACCCTCTGACTGGCTTCCAGAGACAGGACCGCCCGGCTCTGCCCTGGGGCAGTCGAGCTGCCTGCGTCAGCAGAGCAGCTGGCTCTGTCTGTGCCTGTGCCCACAGCGGTGGGGGTGCCCGCAGCGGTGGGGGGTGACGCGGTGACGTGGGCAGTGATGGGGGATGACAGCAGCGGTGGGAGGGTGACGCCGGCAGTGATGGGGGTGCCCGCAGCGGTGGGGGGTGACGCGGGCAGTGATGGGGGATGACAGCAGCGGTGGGGGGTGACGCGGGCAGTGATGGGGGATGACAGCAGCGGTGGGGGATGACGCGGGCAGTGATGGGGGTGCCCGCAGTCGTGGGGGGTGACGCGGGCAGTGATGGGGGATGACAGCAGCGGTGGGAGGGTGACGGCAGCTGTCTGCTGAGGAGCCTGGGGCGCAGGCTCTCTGCGTGGCCGTGGAGGGAGGGGAATGGTGGCAGGTGTCCAGGCGGTGGCCCGATGCTTAACCTCCTGTGGAGACTCCGTGTGAAACGGGCACTCCCGGGAAGACGGGTGAAAGCACGAAGCTGGTGTCGATCGCGTTGAGAATTAACATTGCTGTTTCTCCTTCTCTTTGAAG